AAAGAATTAGATATGTTTATGGAGAATAGATCCATGAGTGTCTATTAGCCAAGAGGGTCACGGATGCAACCCCATGGTCTGGGTGTCCCTAAATCTCGGATTGCCAGCAGCTAGGACTGCATGACAGGGGTTGGATCACTCGATGAATTGCCCATTTCTGTTCATTCCCTCTGAAGTATCTGGTACTGGCCACTGACAGGATAGTGGGCTAGAGGGACCTAGCTAGGGTCTGGCCCAGTATGGCTGTTCTTATGTTTACACAGCCCAATCCGGTAGGCATGCTTTGAGACTTCCTAACTCCACACAAAAAAAGGCTGAGGAGGAGGCCCTCCTTTATAATCTTTAGCCCACTGGTTAGAATATCTGCTCTGGACATGGGAAACCACCAGTTCCAGTCTCCACTCTGCCTGCTAAGAAGAAGGGATTTGAGTGTTTGAACCCCTGGATTATGGGATATTTAAATGGGATGTGCCCTAAATCTATCCTGTTAAATTTGTTCAACTTTAATTATATTATTGAATAATTAAATGGGCCAGAGAAAAATGAGAATCACTTTCTACCTCAGTGGTTAGGACACTTGCCTGAGACATGGTGAATTCCTGTTCAAATCCCTTCTCCTCATTAGACTAAGGGGAAACTTGAGCAAGAGGTCTCCCAGATAAAGACCCTATCTGTTCAGTTTTATAAGGGAGCTCCTCTTCCCCCAAGCCTGGCTGTTTTGTGTGGAGTTAGGTGGCCTCTGAACATGCCTACTGGATTAGGTTCCACAGGCAAGATAGGTGGACAAATGTCTATCTTCCCTTGGGTGTGGCTCACATGCAGAGATAAGCGCAGCCTGGATGTAAGTACCAAAGTCCATGAGAGGGGTAGGGATTAGAATGTCCCCTTCTTGTCAGCATCTCCCACTGACTATCTTAGGCGGCTCCCTGCCTAGCGTGCTGGCTTTTCTGGATTACATTCTAAGGGGCCTCTCTCTCCCAATTCATTGTCTAGGGAACCAAGGTTCCTAACTAAGGCTTTGTGGATAACGTTGTTGCTGTGATTTTAGAGGTGTCTAGAACTTAGGTGTTGCAAAACTGACTGTTGCAGTGCCTAACTCCTTTGTGGAACTGGGCCTTAGTGAGATAGTTATTGAGTGATATGACTAACCCCAAGGATTAAGGGTGATTCCTTTATACTTCTTCCACACTCCCAGTCCCAGCCATCCAGGAAACTGAACCATAGACCTACAGCCTGCTTTTTGGAGCTCTGGATATTTCTGATTAAGCGTACAGAGACAAAGATTCAGAGTTTATGTCCAGGATAACATCCAAAAGTTTCAATATTTGCGCAAGGTTTACCTGAATTATCTTGAAAGGGAAAACCCAGATATTAGGGAGTGAGCTCCTGGGCCGCCCCACAAGCAAGACTCTGAATTAGCCAAACATACAAGAGATCTGGCAACAAATGGGAGAAACTACCAGGTTATCTTCAGCACAATGAGATTGACAGGTAAAGGTGTGCGTGCTGTCACAGGGGCACAAGGTAGTTTTAGCACCTTCATCTCCCTCCATCTAGAGTCATCAGATAAACTTTCCCAAGCTTCACATATGACTTTATTTTGGTTTGGTTTTATGTGTGTGCAAAGGATTGACCATTCTTACTCTGAAATTGGGGATGTACCCATCCATCTGTTTATTTAGGTTATTAGAAGGTCACTCATCACTTTAGCATCTGGGTGCTTGCGAAGAGAATTTTGCAGTCAGCGCATCACAAACAGTTCACTGACACCCACTGAAATAAATCTGACCATGCAAATGTTTTTGAGAAAGAAATGGAGAAAACCTTGCTCATCTTTTATAAGATTTGAAAATTTGCCCCCACCGTCTTGTTGCTTAAACATTTCCTGGTGTGTTTGTATTGTAGATTAATTTCCAAGTGAGTCAAAGTGGCAATACCAGGAGCAAAAATATTTCAGTAGCCCTTCTTGCCACTATGCATTTCAGACATATAGAAACACATGGAAAAATACTCCATCTTTCTGCCTTAAAAAGACCTCCATAAAAATTACATCTGATGAAGTGAGCTGTAGCTCACGAAAGCTCATGCTCAAATAAATTGGTTAGTCTCTAAGGTGCCACAAGTACTCCTTTTCTTTTTGCGAATACAGACTAACACGGCTGTTCCTCTGAAAACTGAAATAGCTGCCAGTCAGTTCTGCAATTCATTGTGTATCCATTCACATTTCCGTGATGCAAAAAGGTATTGAAAATGATAACACTGGAAACCAGTATCCTTGATTTAGAAAATGAATGATAAGATTGCAGAAACCTGTGCTGCAATATTCACCATGTTTAGGGTTGCAACTAGCATCATAATGCTGATCATAAGCTTGTAGGAGGATTTTTTTCCCTCCCAGCTTGGGTAAAAAAAAGATTTAATGGACTTTTATTAGATCAGAGGAATGCAATTTCAATCACAAGTCAACAAAACTTGAAAAAGTTGCAAGATACAGAATATATTTTACGAGTTGATTAAACTCTCCAGAGGGAGTGGTCTCGTTCAAATATTAGTAATAAAATGTAATGGAAGAGCACTTGTCAGTGTCAGTGGCAGCAGCTGGGTTCATTATTTCAAGCGTTAATGGCAAAATGTACAAGTGTTCTCCAGCTTGGTATGTTTTCCTAATGTTATCAAAAGATGCCATTTTCTCACAATCTGCAAAGACATTAAAAATTATATAGAAATTATTCTGAATTGTGACTGTTTCTGGGTGCCAAAGGCCCAGATTTTTAAGGGTATTTAGGCATTGCTCCCTGAGTGTTGCAACATCTAACTAATTTAGGAGCCTATATCTCATTTCCACATAGAAAAAACTTAGGCTCCTTAGAGTGGGATTCACAAAAGTACTTGGGCACCTAACTCCCATTAATTTCAAGGGAGTTAGGCACCTAAGTACCTTTGTGAATCCCATCCTTTGTGTTTACCTTAAATCTTAAGTGCCTAAGTACATTTGAAACCACAACTTGGCAAAATGAGCAGAGCAATGCATAAGCATCCTTAAAAATCTGGACCAAAGTCCCTATATTATGATCCTTATCCTCCCATTTGCCATAAAATATTAAAACTAGCTTGGGTGATGTCTTCTCCATAGGTTAAGAAGAGCCACCATTGTCCCCAAAATGAATGCCGGTCATGATCCAGGGTGAGATATTCAAAAGTGCTTAGGTGAGTTAAGAACAAAAGTCATTTTGACCCTCAATGGGGCTGGGCTTATGTTCCTAAGTCACACAGGCTTTTTTGAAAATTCCATCCATAACCTACCTGTGACGCACTGAAATTTGGCAATCTCTAAAATCTGCTTCTAATGGTGTTCAAAACTAGGGAACAATGTCCTTGGTTCAAGTTTCTGTACCTTTCAGGGCTAGAAGCTACTTGCCCTGAATGCACACATGCACCTCTTAGCCAAAAATGCAAGAAGTTGTACATTCTGCACTCTGAGATATTCCCATTAAAATCAAGAGAATTTTACCACTAACTCTAATAGGCTTTGGATCAGACTCTTTTTGTTGTAAGCTGCGAAGCCCCTACAAGGATTCATTTGCTGATGGACTTCAGTTTCCACAGCTAAACCACACACATGCCCAGTCTTAATTATTTTTATGTTTTTCTGTGGAACTTGTCAATTTTGTGTGTGTCTATTATTTATTTATTTTCTGTTATTTATAGTGGCACTGCCCCCCACGCTTACAGTAGGCACATCCCTGATTGAGCTAAAGGCATATGAAAGCAATTTGCTACTTGCAGGACATATTCAGTAATGGAAGCTCACCTCTTGTCAAAAGATTCTGGAGAAATTTCCTATTCCAAATCAACACTATTATCTTTCTATTCCTTTAATTGTTATTGCACAACACTAGAGCCATTGCAGAACACTAGACCAAAATTGGAATTTGAGGATAGAATATGCGATAACAACAGGTATTGAGAAAAAATATTTCATATGGATAAACATTTTTAACAAAGCATAAAATAAGGTATGACCAAAAAAGTACCAGTAAATTGTGAGAAGAATCTGATCATCTTGTGGAGCTTGAAGGCCTAGGATGGAATCTGACCTGAACGTCCAAAAGCCTATATAACCCTATGCTTTTACATGAGAAAAGACCGTTTTAGCTAGCACTAAAATAAAAAATAAAATAAATGTTTTTCAGAGAAGGAAGACAAATGCCAATGAAAGGAAAGAGGCCCCATCTCATCTGAGACTGTCTGTTGCCTTTCTGACAGCACCAACTCCAGTTATGAGATAACTCTTACATTCTATTAATTCCCTTTGTGGGCTGGGACAGATTAAAGCCCGAAGAGAGGGGAAAGAGAAGAAATTTAGTTTGCCATCCAGATCCAGTAACATACATGACAGCAAAGATCTGGAAGTGTCCAGATTCCCTGTCTAGACATATGTTCACATATTAACAAATAAGTTAGATAGAAGAAGTTAATGATTTCTGACAAATAGAGGTGAATAAAGGGATACTAAACCTAAACAAAGGGAATTTCTGAGATGCTGGCTTAAAAGTTGTATAGGCTCATATATAACTGGGAGCCAAACCTGAATTTGTAATTTCTACCACTTCTCTGAATAAAAAAATGCTGTTTTAAAACACACATGTAAATCACATTTATCCAGATATTTGGAAAGCCAGCCCATATTTAAAGAAATACATTATTTCTCCAGCAAATTCAACTTATTTTCAATTGCCTTTACAGCCTCTGTGGTTTTTTTCTGGCCAAATTATGCTCAAACTTCTTTAAAAACTAAATTCTACGAGTATGGTAATACAGGGGCTTTTTCTCTACTCTTCTTCCCATCACCCATCTCCAGTTTATGATCCCCAAATAATCAATCCTACAATAACTCACTTCCTCCAACACTGCCTATTACCCCCACCTGCCCCAAACAATGTTTCTAAAGAGAACTGCATGAGTAGGCAGTACCCCAAAGGAAGCACTGTCACTGCGCCCTATTTGGTGTGGACTCTCTGATGTGATACTAGTTGGGACTTCGTCCTGAAGCTTTTGCCACAGTCACTGCATCCATAAGGCTTCTCGCCTGTATGGATCCTCTGATGGATTGTAAGTCCTGATTTACAAAGGAAACCTTTACCACAGTCAGGACACTGATAAGGTTTCTCTCCTCTGTGCATTCTCTGGTGCTGAATGAGCGTTGAGCTCTGACAGAAGCTTTTTGCACAGTCCCGACACTTATAGGGTTTTTCACCCGTGTGGATTCTCTGATGCTGGAAGAGTGTAGAGCTCCGACTGAAGCTTTTGCCACATTCAGCACATATGTTTGGTTTCCCTCCGGTGTTGATTTTGTGGTGGACGATAACATTTTGGGGTTTGCTGAAATCTCTTTCAGATTGAGTTGATTTATACCATTTCTTCGCTAGAAATCCTTCCTGCTTGCTCTCTGGTCTATGCTGATTCTCACAGGCTTTCGCTTGATCAGAATAGTGGAAAATATTGTCTTTGGCGATCCCTGGCAGCTTCCCATGTGGTTCCAATTCCTCAGGATACTCCTGATGAGGATCCTTCTCCTTTTTTTCTCTCGGAATCCTATCATCAGCTGGAACAAAAAGAGAATCCAGCCATAATTAATACCCTGCACTTTTGAGAAAAAAAAATAGAGTTGTGAATACTGTGTCATAAATCAGCCACTGTCTGTAACCTTGAAACCACAAATTAGTTATAGGAGAAAACTTACCCAGGGTACATGACTGGTGAGAAGATGGTGATTTAGGGATGCTGGTGTGGACATTTCACTATTTTCCTTCTATCTTTTGAAGGCTTTGACAGGTTTATTGGTGGTGGAGTCAAATTTTGCTTGGGGACAGTGATTTGTTGGACTTTATCAAGAGTCACTAACCAGAAATTTCCACACCACTTGAAACATACCCCACATGCCACAGGTGTGGTGTTCACAGAAGGGTGTGTATGTGGGAGCATGCGTGTGTGCGAGAGTGAGAGAGTAGGAGAGAGAGCGGCGGGAGTCTATTTATTTGTTTTTTCCATTTAAACAAAAAATGCTTTCTCAGAACCATAACCAAGGGAGGGGGCAGTTTGATAGAAATGTTTCTGTATTTTTAAATACACTGAGTATATTGATAGTACAGTCTTCCTAGACTCAGAGGAGGAGAGTTGAGATGAAGGCCTTGCAAGGAGAACAATGTATCCTGACCTAAGAAACTGTTTTTGAGAATACTCTTCATCTGGTACAAACTGGTGCATACTTAAGGAGGGAAAATTGTACTGAAGACATTTTTGTAAATGATGTCTGGCATGCATGTTAGGTAGTATCAATAGAATGGTGAATTCCAATAGAGGTAGGGAAGTCATCCCAAGCTTTTCTTCAGCTGGGCAGCAGAAACTTAACAAGCGGTTGAAGCAATCATTACGAGGTCCCTTCAACACATCAGTATGTGTGTGTATGTTCTGAGAGAACATGAAATGTACTGACATGGTGTTTCCCTTCCCTCAAAATCCCAAACAGAACCACCCCCTAACAACACTTAATTTCTTCCATTCATTTGAGAGATACGCTCTTCCTCCATCTTCCACTCATCTGGCAGAGTTCCTGTGGGTTTTTCTTCTTCTCTGTTTCTCAAAGTGGGATGCTGAACCACTTCTGAATTATAATGTGTTTATGAATAATCGGTAGTCTGTGTGCATAATAATAAGAGATTTTTCTCCATTTCCAATTCTCAAAGGATATATTTACAATTGCCATGTTGTTTTGTTTTATATCAGGTGGGTTTTTTTTATATAGGTGGAAGAAAATGAACATAATGCTCAGTATCACAATGTATAAATTACTTCAAATGAAAGCCAAGAAAAGGTTCTCTCTCTGCCATTGTCCAGTAGAGCCATGTAGATGAGAGAAGGCAAAACTATACGTGATTACAACTTTCTTGGAATTCTAGCTATTTACTTCAGTCACGAAAGGTTTCTGATTTGTTTTAATGTATTCCTTACCTGTGTGGTCACCCCTCAGCAATTCCCTTTCCACTGGGTCTTGTAAATACAGGACAGACAGTTCCTCCCCTTCCTCCATTGATGATATCTCTTCAATTTGGAGAATTAAACAGCCTGCTTGTGGGAAGGAAAAAGTGCAATATCACAATCCATCATAGTTTTGTCAAATGCTCTTTGAAAAAGAAAGTCTCCTGATTTTCTTTTCTGGGGATTGAGGAGAGAGATGTTTACTCCAAACACATGTGGAAAATAATCACAGAGACTATGAGAAATTAAATATTCTAATGGGAAGTATGTTTTGCTGTCTTCTGTGAAGTTCTTGCTTCTCTTTCCCCAAGATACTAAAATCAAGTTATTTTGCTTCCAACAGTTATAATGCAGTATCTCTTCTACCCTTAGAAGTAACTTCAAATTTACCAGGGATTACAGAATGTTAAGGAGCTGATATATTAGATTATAGAAACGATAACAATCCCACTAAAGTTTCAACTAAATATACAGAGATTTATCGCTGCTTCTTTGTTTACAGGCATATGTGCAGCAAGACACTTACTAAAAATAAAACACAGGCCCAGATTCTTAGGTGATGTAAATTGGCATAGTTTTAATTTACATCAGTTGAGGATCTGACCTAATAATATAACATGTCAGTAAACTATAAACTAAAAGGTGAGGAAGCTTACGGATTAAAGGGTGGAAATTAAAGAGATAAACCAACTTCCTTAGCTGTACAGGGCTCTTCGTCTGGTGACTCAGTGAAAGAACCAGCAACTGAACAATTAAAATCCCCACAAGCCTTTGCTGTCTGCTGCAAAGGAGCTCTGTGCTATTCCTGCCTTCCCTGAGGTTTAAACAGAATTTGCCAGACTGTTTGCTTTAAAACTTAAAGCTAAACATTCCGTGTTGTGATTCTACAGCCCCTGCCCCTGATTGGTTCCCTTGATGAAATTATAACCTGTATGTTTCCTGGTTTAATACCCAGTCACATGACACAGGACATCATTGTGTGTGTTATGGCACCAGCAGGAGAGTCAGGGATCTACACACGCAGACACTCCAAAGTCAGGGACAGTATTAAACAGTTTAGAGAGAAGAACCACAGCACCTGAGGCACAAGACAAGACATAAGCCCTTACTAAACTTGTGGAGAGTCCAGATACTTTCCCGTGTTTTCAAAGAAAAGCGGAATCCACTCTCACTCCTTATTAAAAGCCACAAAGCACCCCACCTAAAAGTGCCATCCCAGAAGCCTCCCCCCACCCCGAAAGGAGTAATTTCCATAAGGGAAGAACCATAATACAATAATTCCCAATGTGTGTATGGAAAAGTATGTATATCCATTCTTCACCTATGCTCAGAATGTCCTGAGCATAGAGGAATTAGTGCTGTGTTTGGGTTTCTAATTCCCTTGTAGACAGCTGGTAAGTTTTGTGTAGGTCCTTGAATGATATATTTCACAAGCAATTGAACTGTAATGCCAGTATCCAGAAGCATGCGCACTTGATAAAATAATTCTGTATTTCAGCTCCTCTCTTCACTGTGTTTTTAATTCTACTCTCTTCTGATCCCTATTGTTCACACTTGAACAGACATGCATGACTCAAAATCCCCTGTAACATTTAGAAAATACTCAAAGTTTGTTTGTCAAAAGAGAAGACACAGCACTCACTGTACAAGTAGTCAGCTTTCAATGAGTCTGCTCAAGCTTCTGGAAACAGTTCACACTGCGTATGCTCATGAGATTGCCTGTTGGCTTTATTTAGTGAAAACAAACCAGTTAAATTAGCTGTTTACGCCTGACAAAGTGGACTGGGAGCAGTTTAATTACATGACTGTGCTGATTGCTTTTGCTGCTAGTGTAATGACTCAAAGTGAGAAAAAAATTAAAACTTAACAGAAAAAGAGATTTGCTGTAGAATGTGGCATTGTCCACAGTAGGAAATTTCTTTATTCATTTTTCAGCAGCAGTGCAGCGGCCAACAGCTTTACTGACAGAGTAAACTGTAGCCTTAAGCTCTGAGAAGGATTAATTGACCTGATAGAAAAACGTAAAACACTTCAGCATGTCCTCCCGGTGACCATCTCCTTGAAATACATCCTTCTTTTCTGTTGCAATGCTGGACGGGGCCTGCAGTGGCTGTTCTCCCTCCTTTCTCATGTTGAGGATATTGCAGTGTTGTACTGCAACCAAATCGCTGATTTGCACTGCCATGCTGCTCAGCAGTGGGTGGTACGGTTGTGTGTCAACCACTCTAAACTCCAAGAGATAATGTCTCTTTTTCATTGGTATCTCTCAACAGCCTGCATTTGCCCACTGACCTCAGAATGGTTGTACTGTATGTATCCAGCACTAGGTTACATGTCGCCAGTCTAATACTGCTGCTTACCAGTGTTGCTGGGATTACATTGCAGCACTCCACAATCCAGCTGGAATCAAATCGGTCATTGATAAAACAGCATATTTGCAAAAATGGCAGTTGAATGGCTGGCAGCATTCTTCTGCAGCATGTGTACACTGAGAGTCTTTGGATTTGCTAAAGTCATACTGCAGACACCTTCCACTTCACTGGAAGTCTCTATGTCCTCAGCATGCACAGCTGCTTTTTTATTCCTGGGGTAGCTGTGGAATTGGGACATATAGTGGTTCTGTTTCCCACACCCCTTGCACTGAGTATGTTTCTCTCTTATTTTTTATGTTTCTTTCCACAGTATATACACTGACCATGATGCCAACATTCTTGGTCAGCCTGTCTTTGTCCTGCTTCCTGGGTTCCATTAGCTTGAGCCGGTGCATTTTGTTCTGAACTGGTGGCTGCCATTGTTTTAATCCTTTTCCGGTACAGTTGCCCTTGCTGTTAGGGTGCATTTTTTTAGGGTTAGATCTGTTTCTCTCAACAATTTCTCTGGTAAACTGGAACCATGTCTCCCACAAATAATGCTGGCTCTAATCAGGGAATCTTTAATGCCTCCAAAGTCCCATGTGGATACAAGAGTTCTCATCTATTCTTTCTTCTGCTTCTTGGTTTCAGGTTTTAAAAAAAAACAGTATCCCTATACAGTTTCATTCTGTCTGGGGGTCACAGAACTCATCAAATATTTTTATCAGCTGTTCCAATTTTTCAGGCATTTTTCGTGGCAACAGTGTCTCACTTACTTCTCTTCTGTTTTCCATGAATGGGTCAGTAGAAAAGCATTAGCTTCAATTTCTCATCTTTGTCCTCCATGGTAAACTCTGTATACAGACTCAGTTCTTGCTTCCATGGTTATGCAAGGTTTTTGTCCAGAAATCCAGCATTCCCAGGCATCCATGGTGCAGGTTTTCGTTGTTTCTAGGTTTGCCTTTCACTCACACTGTCTCTTCTGTGCTATAGGTCTCACTGGCTGACCACTGCCCCCTTGTTTCATGTACAGCGTGCTGAGTAATAACACAAGGATTCCATGTTTCTAAAACGAAATTCGTTGTGTATTAAAAGAACTATTTACAGAAATGCTGCAACGGCAGCTAGCATTCCAACCATGTACACACAAAGTTGCTTCCTGGTGCCCTCTTCAAATTCTTCCCTCCTGCAAACTGTGAGTCTCTCTCTCCAAGTTCCATAAAGGCTATTACAACCAGTGGTTTTCAATATTTTCAGTATCAAGATATTCCTTGCTAGAACTTCCCCTCCCTAGGGAATCATGACCCCCTGATTGAAAATCTGTGATTTGGACAATCAATTTAACCCCTTGTTTTGAATCAGGAAAGACTGAAATTAGTTTTGTTTTCTCATATTTGACACTTGACGTTTGCAAAATATTGTGTGTGATCAATGTTTGAGTCTGTAGAACATTCAGAAACAATTCATTGCAAGTTTTAAATATTCAAACTGTGTTGACTAGTTGTTATTGGACATATAGATCACATGGTATTGGTTCTGTTCCCTGAGTGGATGAGTGTAACTCTTAGAATAAGGTTTTCTGTGGGAATACTGTAGTTTAGGTGTTCAGTAACTGATTTACATTAATTAAAATCTGGATAACCTTGAAAGATCTGAATGACCTTGAAAACTGGCCTGACAGAAATGGGATGAAATTCAATACAACAAAATGAAAGGCCATGGTCTTAGGTTCTAATAATAAGAATTTCTGCTACAAGCTGGGGACTCATCAGTTGGAAGCAACAGAGGAAGAGAGCAAGACCTGGGTGTCTGGGTCAATCACAGAATGGCTGTAAAAAAGGCAAATGTGGTTTTAGGATGTGGTTTTAGTAGAGATAGAGAAGTGTCAATGCCATTGTACAAGGCACTGATAAGACCTCATTTGGAATGCTGATCAACCACATTGAAGAAAGATGAATTTAAACTGGAACAAGTGCAGAGAAGAGCTCCTAGGGTGATCAAGGGAATGAAGGGCCTATCTTATAAGAGGAGACTGGAAGACGTTAGCTTGTTTAGTCTGGCAAAAAGAAGACAGAGAGGGGATATGAGTGTGCTCTATAAGTACATTGGGAGTGGGGAGGTAAATACCAGCAATGGTGAAGAGCTATTTCAGTCAGAGGACAATGTTGACACAAGGACAAATGGATATAAACTGGCCATGATCAAACTCAGGCTGGAATTTAAAAGATGATTTCTAACCATCAGAGGGGTGAAGTTCTGGAACAGCCTGACAAAAGGAGTTGCGGGGGCAAACAATTGAATTTGTTTAGAGAGCTGGACAAATTTATGAGTTCAATTGTATGATGGGGTTGATTGTGATGGTAGAGGACAGGGTTCAGCAGCCCTGGGGATCACTTCCTGTTTATGTCTTATGTTCCTGAAACCTCATGCTTCAGGGTTTCAGCTGGCCACCTGCAGGGGTCAGGAAGGGATGTTTCCCACACAAACACTGTATTTGTGGAGGGTTTTTTTAATCTCCTTCTTTAGAAGCATCAGGGATGGCCATGGCTAAGGCAGCACACTGGCTGGGCCGGCCAGGGCTCTGAGGTGGCACTGACCATTCTCTCTCTCAGATGCTTGGCTGGCTGGTTCTTGCTCACAAGCTTAACATCTAACTGATTGCCATTTGTGGGGTTGGAAGGAATTTCCCCCCAGGTTAGATTGGCAGTGACCTTGGTGATTTTTTTGCCTTCCTGTGCAGCACATGGGTGAATGTCACTTGCCAGGGTTATCTGGATATATCCAACTTAATAATTTCCCTGCTATTGTGGGGGCATCCGGCACTGGTGAACCTCAGTCCCTCCCAGTCTCTGCCTGTGGCCCATAATAGTCTAGTCTCCTGAGGGCTGTAATATTTTAGTCTAATTTCAGTTTTGGGGTTTAGTGTGTGTGTTGGGTGGGGTTGGTGGCCTGTGATATATAGGAGGTCAGACAAGATGACTGGGTGGTCCCTTCTGCTCTTAAACTCTATGACTATTACTCTAATTGTATCTAAATTTCACTTCAAATTTGCTATTTCTATGATTATTCCTTCCAGTGAACTCATTTGCTAGAGTATTTTTAGAAAGGAAACAGAAAAGGGACACAAATGCAAGGGTGCTAATTAAACTGTGTATTTGCGCAAATGTTCATGGAAAATACTGTGAAGTATTTGATAGCTCTCCGAGAAACCTACAATGTTACTAATAAAACACAACAGCCAATACAAGAAACTTGGAAAGATACAGAAATACAAGCCTCAAAAGGATAATATTTGAGGGATGGCCGGAGGCAAAGAGAAAAATCTTATCAATTCTGCATAATTACCACTCTGTGATGCATTAACAGCTGATGCAATTCTTAAAAGAAAGAAAATAAGTGTTTTCAAGCAAAAGGAGCAAAGAACGGCTATATTGCATTTGTGAAGGATAACTGAAATGTGGAATTACACAAAAGGATAGCCAGAGAACTCCTTTATTGGCCTAGAACTACACACAGACTGCTGATTCATTTTTGAAATGTTCAGTGTGTCAAATATATTGATCACAACAACCTAAAGAACCAGTACATCCTCAGCAAGATCATGCCTAAGTATTGACTGACTTATTTTACTCTTAAGGCCAAGACTGTTTAGTGACAATTGACTAGCATTCACGCAAGTTTAAGATGAGTCTTCAACAAGATACTCTGAGTGAAACAGGGACTTGTCATTTGAAATCCATCTTCACAAAGATGGTTCTTGAGCAAGGCTGAGCCTGTGGCTTTTAGACACAGCTTGCTTTATAGGTGAGTAGCAACTATTTGCTAGAGTACACAACTGTGAGGGGTATCACTAGTCACTCCCTGCTGCCTTTTTCTTACATGAAGAAAAGGAGTACTATTGGCACCTTAGAGACTAACGAATTTATTTGAGCATAAGCTTTCGTGAGCTAGAGCTCACTTCATCGGATGCATTCAGTGGAAAATACAGAGAGGAGATTTATATACACACAGAACATGAAAAAATGGGTGTTATCATACACACTGTAAGGGTATGTCTACACTACGGAATAAGGTCGAATTTATAGAAGTCGGTTTTTTAGAAATCGGTTTTATATATTCGAGTGTGTGTGTCCCCACAGAAAATGCTCTAAGTGCATTAAGTGCATTAACTCGGCGGAGTGCTTCCACAGTACCGAGGCTAGAGTCGACTTCCGGAGCGTTGCACTGTGGGTGGCTATCCCACAGTTCCCGCAGTCTCCGCTGCCCATTGGAATTCTGGGTTGAGATCCCAATGCCTGATGGGGCTAAAACATTGTCGCGGGTGGTTCTGGGTACATATAGTCAGGCCCCCTTCCCTCCCTCCCTCTGTGAAAGCAAGGGCAGACAATCGTTTCGCGCCTTTTTTCCTGAGTTACCTGTGCAGACGCCATACCACGGCAAGCATGGAGCCCGCTCAGGTAACCGTCACCGTATGTCTCCTGAGTGCTGGCAGACGCAGTACGGCATTGCTACACAGTAGCAGGAACCCATTGCCTTCTGGCAGCAGATGGTGCAATACGACTGGTAGCCGTCATCGTCATGTCTGAGGTGCTCCTGGCACGTCAGCTGGGAACGCCTGGGCAGACATGGGCGCAGGGACTAAATTTGGAGTGACTTGACCAGGTCATTCTCTTTAGTCCTGCAGTCAGTCCTATTGAACCATCTTATGGTGAGCAGGCAGGCGATACGGATTGCTAGCAGTCGTACTGTACCATCTTCTGCCGGGCAGGCAAGAGATGAGGATGGCTAGCAATCGTATTGTACCATCTTCTGCCGGGCAGGCAAGAGATGAGGATGGCTAGCAGTCGTACTGTACCATCTTCTGCTGAGCAGCCATGAGATGTGGATGGCATGTAGTCCTTCTGCACCGTCTGCTGCCAGCCAAAGATGTAAAAGATAGATGGAGTGGATCAAAACAAGAAATAGACCAGATTTGTTTTGTACTCATTTGCTTCCCCCCCTCCCCTGTCTAGGGGACTCATTCCTCTAGGTCACACTGTAGTCACTCACAGAGAAGGTGCAGCGAGGTAAATCTAGCCATGTATCAATCAGAGGCCAGACTAACCTCCTTGTTCCAATAAGAACAATTACTTAGGTGCACTATTTCTTATTGGAACCCTCCGTGAAGTCCTGCCTGAAATACTCCTTGATGTAAAGCCACCCACTTTGTTGATTTTAGCTCCCTGAAGCCAACCCTGTAAGCCATGTCATCAGCCGCCCCTCCCTCCGTCAGAGCAACGGCGGACAATCGTTCCGCGCCTTTTTTCTGTGCAGACGCCATACCAAGGCAAGCATGGAGGCTGCTCAGCTCACTTTGGCAATTAGCAGCACATTAAACACCACACACATTATCCAGCAGTATATGCAGCACCAGAACGTGGCAAAGCGATACCGGGTGAGGA